ACGAGGCGCAGCTGAGTTGACTATCGCTCGTAGAAAATTTACTGTTGTCTCAGCCCATAAATAGACTTTTTTCGCTTGGACGGTTGGCTGCCCCTTTTCAGACCATGTGATGATGCTCTTGAGAATTCTTGCTTTCAAAATTTCAAGTAGTCGCGTGTATATGTGTAATCATTAGATGGATAAAAGAACAATTCTTTAGAGAATGTCACATGGTCTGTAATGGGAAAACAAACCGCCCAAGCTAGAAAGGTCTTGAGATGTCAAGTAACGCGAAGAAAAGAACTGTTTTATTGTGTTACATCAGGTGATTCAAAGGGTTGCGATTCAAACATTGCGGGCGATGCACACTGATGCGTGTAGACAAAACATCACGTGTACAATCACGTGTGCGCCCGTTTTTTATTACCAGGCAGAAAACGGTTATAGAGCCAATCAAATTCACAATAGACTGCGGTAAATTAATGCTAAATCCCATAAGTAGAATTCTACTAGCATATTTTTGCAAATGCAGCAATCTGATTGGCTGAGCTACTCGTATATCAGCCATTAGAATGTACTGGCTGCCAACAGTTGTAAACGAAATGGTGACGTTTTCTCGTTTTCCCCAAGTTTTGGAGGGATGTTTAGATGCAAATGGATCATTAAATTTCTGAGAAGACCAAAAGAAGGACATAAAACGGTTTCTTGACTTTAAAAACTTGGAATCATTGAAAACATGGGTGCACGGGCATAAACAACTACAAATTTCCATTGACGAAGTTCAGTCCGTGCAATTTTGTTAAAGGCTGAAGTTTAATAATACGTAGTTTAATAATACGTGGTCTTTTAGAAAACACTCCGTGAGAAAGAGCACGCAAACAGACACACGCCTATTTAACACCTGGGTTAATTTTGATTTTAGGATTTCTGAGGTGATGTTTCATGGCGCCGATCGCCGAATTAGCTACCATGGCGTACAAATCAAAGCGAATGATCTAAATGTTTAAGTGGACTTCTAGTTATTTTTCCTTTGAATAATGACTTCCAATTAATACTCTACATATTTTGTGCGTGAATTTCGCGTACTTGAAATGGTATGCAGGTTTTTTTTGTTTTTTTTTGAATATAAAAATTTCCAGCGGAAACTGTTACCCATAGGCCATACTTCTTTGTGCTATCTCCTGGCTGAAATCCATGTTGGATCATCTAATAATAAGGCGCCCGTGGCCCACGGGAGATCAGTACCTCATCACCAGTTTTGGCCAATGACAACAACGGGAAATGTTATGGTGGACTGTTATGGCTGAGAGCGTAAGATAGCTCAGCCAATCAGATTACAACATTTGCATAAACAAACTAAAACACAACTAAGTTCGATAGGAATACGGAAAATGTTTTCCATGAGGAATTTAAAAAGCAAATTATAGTAGATCATATGTACGTCTGGTTAGATTTGTTTTAACAAGCTGAAATTATCCCTGATTGAAAATCTTGGCCTCCTTTCTTTTGCCCTTAGCGATCAGGGATGACCAAGTAAAATGCCATATCATTACATGCTCATGATCTCGGAAGTCGCCGAAATGCTTTAGTTATATCAACCACGAAATGAGCATGAGTACAAAATTTGTCTCTTGTAATGGTTTGACATTTCGAAATCTTTGCAAACTTATTGAATACCTTGTCACGCTTGGAACGAATATCCTTGATTTCGTTAAATTTCGAAAAAGCTGGCCTTTAGATGTGTAAAATGTTTCAGTGACTTTCCCTGGGTACTGACCCACACGACTGGGAATTCTAAACTTCTTTCACAATAACGCCAGTAATAACTGTTAGCAATTCCTTAAGTATTGGCTATTTTCTGCCAAAAAACACTCAAATACTTATATAGTTTCCGGCGTCCCACTTAGCAACCACTACTTCAATTTTATCAGTCCAGGTCCTACATCAACATGATATAAAAGTTCAAATGCCAGCATGTATTTCATCGACTTACCAACAACCTGTACTTCAATTTCATCAGTCCATTCCTTTATGTTAGTCTCTACGATGCAGGAAAACACCGCTTCATCTGCTTCTGTCACATTG